AAAGTGAGAGAGAAAAAAAAAAAAAAAAAAAAAGAGGCAGGCACAGAGAACACCTCAGTGCATTTTCCACTTGGGCTTTTACTTGAGCCCTGAGTTGGTGTAATACCGTACTTTAATCACTATCTGCATTCTTATTTTTATACTCTATTAATTTTGAACACAGAAGAGAAAAATGATATTTACCCATCACCATCAATATCTAAAATTGTTCTTGGAGTTCAACTGAGTGGAAATATGATTTACGGGTTTATTGTGTTTGTAGTAAGCATGTAAAGTCATTCATGCGTATGATAAACACAATACCAAAATATGGGTGATGGAGAAGGAAGATGATCAGGGACCTCAATCTTCAATAATAGTGTTTTTCATTAATCTGTGTATTGTATGAAAAATGTCTTCTATATTGTTCTTTTGACCTTTGAATTTTCGGAAATAACAAATTGTAAAATATTTGAAATTCATTTTACAAAACAGTGTATGGAGCATGATCTTATGCTCATTACTTTTCATGTTATAAATTTAAAACACTGATAGAAATGTAATTTTTTAAGCTCAGAACCATTTACCCCAGATTTAAACTTGTTTATATTACTTTCATTTTACTCTTTTAAAATTTATTTTACTTTATTTTTCTATGAAACATAATTCATTGTACATGTCTGTGGGGTACAGAATTACATATCAATACCTTTGTGCCATATGTGATACTCAAATCAAGATAATTAGTATATTCAATATTAAACAATGTTACTGTTTCTCATGGCCCTTTATTGATTCTTCCCTAACCCTCCCTTTCCTTCCTCCTTCGCCACCTCTGTTAATCTCAGTTCTATTCTCTCCTTTTGAAAGTTCAACATATTATAGTGATTGTGTATCTTTCTTTCTTTCTTTTGTTATTTGTTTATTTTTTTAGCTGCCACTTATGAGTGAGGACATGTGGTATTCCTCTTTCTGTGCCTGACTTATTTCACTTGTAATTTTCTCTAGGTTCATCCATGTTGTTGTGAATGGCAGTATATTGTTCTTTTTTATGGCAGAATACTTTCTATTTTCAAAACAAATGAACATACTTTTTTAGAAATTAAAAGTAAATCAAAGATTAAAATGATAGTGGTGAGAATAAATAAAATAGGAAATATCATACAAGAATAGGATTTTTTATAACAGTTATAATAGTTATGTTTTGCATGCAAATTTTAAAATATAATATATTTTATTAAATACTTTGATATTTATATATTATATAATAATACAAATAAAATATAATTTAAAACATTTTATATAGCATATATAATATATTGTGTACATATACATATATATTAAAATAAATATTATATACTATTTAATAGTCTATAACAGATTATATACATAAATTATTAAAATATTTGTAGTGAAATTTGAAGATTTTTAATAGTTAAATATCAATTAATTTCTTTCCAATAATTTAATATAAAGATAGCTAGATTTTGGAAAAAATATTTAAGTAAATATTTAAGTATTATTAAGAGCAAAACATGACTAATAAAATTTTTAAAATAGTTTACAATAGTACATTTTTTGGGGAAATATAGGAAAATGGTCAGGGCCCCCAGATGTTCAGAATCTTGCCGAGCATCTAACATAAATATGCACGTGTGCCCAGGTGTTCCCTGTTATTGTCTAATGTGATTGTGCTGTGCACCCAGGTGTTTTGAGTTAGGGACTTAGTATAAAGGACTAAGGGCTCTAATAGAAGGTGCTTCTGGGAACTCTTTGGGAAGCCACTAGGGCGGCTGCTCCTAGCACTGAATAAAGCCTATGAATTTCTCACAGGGCTCCCAGGACCTTTTCCTATTACCTAGCT